GAGTGAGGATGCTATTTTCGAAAATTGCACGAATGAAATGAGTGCAATTTTCGCATTGAATGTGCGAGCCTGCGAGCATATTCAATGAAAACACCCTTGAGGAAAAGCGACCGTATCATGGCTGGTATAGTATTCGGACCGGGTAATTAAATTTATTATAGTAAATTTTTGGCACCTAGCACCAACGCATCTCTGAGAAAGGGTTCGCTTTTGGGCTTCGACATCAAGGAGGGGCACGGGAGATGGGGGGGGGGGCAGCAAATGGGTAAAGCTTTGGGCGTATAATGAAAATTATTGCCAATGGACTTTAACACACGATGGGCGAATAACGAAATTAATCTATAATTTGGTTTCAGTATACCTTATACAAATGGTAAATTGCCTACCATGTCGTATTTTGCTTGAAATTCATCCCTCATTTCTCAGATATTTCCTGGTAAACATGCGAGACGCGTCTGTTACCTACTTTTATTAGACATTCATGCTACGAAGCGAGTGAGGAGTAGGCGTTGCGGAGACATGTTTTGTCTTCATTAGTGGGGAAATGTGATGTCGTTGCATTCCCTCCTCTTTCCTATGTTTTGAGTTTTGACATCCAATATCCATGAAGGTATGATAACAAACGTCGATCTTGCTACGAACACTGGCTCCTGACAGTGCTGTTCTTCCCGTTTTGTAAGGTTCATCTTCAATTGCTCTTTTCACTGGCTCTTGAGAACTAGGTGTACCTCGAAATCTGCCTTCTAAATTTCTGCGTAACCTGCTAAGCCATCTCTTTGAAATGCATACGAAAAGTCATTACATTAAGGCTGTGTTCTTTTCAAAATTCACCTGTCAACCTGTTTCGCAATTTATTACGAGCGAGCGAGCGCAGCGAGCGAAGCGAAGTCTTTTCAATATAACGGAAAAATCTCAGTATGAGCGGCCCGGCCCGGCCCGGCCCGGCCCGGCCCGGCCCGGCCCGGCCCGGCCCGGCCTGTAACGCTTTTGAGAGGCTTATATCTCAGCAACCGCTGGACCGAATGGCCTGCGGTCTTTTTTGCTGGGTAGCCCCATCCCTTCTACCCCGTAATTGACTACTTTTGATACATCTCAGTGACCGCCGTGGCACGTGCCACGTGAAAAGTCAAGGGTGTTCAAGCAGTTTTGCAAAAGTAATGATTTTGAGAGGCCCATATCTCAGCAGCGGCTTGAGCGATTGTCTTGCGGTCATTTTTATAGGGTAGCTGCATCCCTTCTACCAAAGGTCGGATACTCTTCATCTATGTGAGTGACCCCCACTGCACGTGCAAAATACAACAATAAGAGGTGCCAAATTTGTTCCCATTTCAGTAACTCGGTAATTACTGGGGCGATTTCGCTGAAACTTGGCATACAGGTAGGCACCCACCAGGCAATGCATTCCCATGTGTTGCGGTTAGGGTGCTACTGCACGTGCGCACGTGCAGGGGGCGTTTCCAGATCTCGAGAACGGCTGGGCCGATTGCGCTCAAATTTGGTACACGGTTGGGGACCGGTTAGTAGGGTGCCGTGCAAAAGTCATTTTGGACCCCGTTTGCACGTGCGCACGTGCAGAATGCCGCTTCCAGATCTCAGGAACGGCTGTGCCGATTGCGTTCAAATTTGGTACACCGCTAGCAACCGGTTAGAAGGGTGCTTTGCACAAGCCCGTTGGAAGTACCCTCTCGCCCTTCTGCACGTGCAGGGCTCACTATCTCGCTCGCTCGTTCTTCGCCCTTAAGGCGTTTTACTGGTTTTATTCCAAGCTGCAAGCTTCTATGACCGGACTTTTATTGAAGTTTCAGTCATCGAATGCATTGTTTAACAGGGAGCTTTTGAAGAGAAGAAAACTGCCGTATAATGAAATTAACCGCCGTGTTTTTATGCATGGGTTTTGATAGGCATTTCCGAGTTTTGGCGTCGACTGAAATTAACCGTCTCTCGCGCTTCAGCCTTTCAGCAGGCCACCTTTATACAAAAATTTAACTGAACTTTTTTAACATGCGTCGGTGGCAAAAATGTACTATAATGATAAATATGCTGCGATTACCTATATGATGATTACTGAGTTATACGTGAAAGAAGACTCGAACGATCATGGGTTCAAATAACAGGTTTAAGGTACATACAGCGCGAGCATGCCAAATATGACAGAGTTTATGGTCAATGTCATCCAAACAATGCCAGTGCGCACAATATTAGGCAGACTGCTCCTTTGATGGGTGCCGGCCTGGAGACTCGTCAGTGAATAGCGATTCTAATTTCTTAAAGAATTTCCTGTCGAAGATTTTCATTGAAGTGCCATTTACGACCGAGTCTTTGTAAGCCGACTGTCGCGTAGTGAGCGTTATGCAAAAATAAGATAAGTAACGACGAAAAATGAGAGCTGCATTGGTAGCGTGATGCAGAGACGCTTTGTTGTTAAAGGTCAAAATAGCCTAGTAGCGCAAAAACTATCAGTCAGCTCGCAATGGGTAGCCTAGGCCTAACAAACCTTTTGAAGCACTCAAGCTTATTGCTTCTGCTTACCGTTAAGCTTCCAATGCCCTATTAATACCTTCGTATAATCTATTTGCGCATTTATACCACTTTCCGGTCCCTTGTACGTAAAAACCTCACCGGCCTAGTTCAGTGAACCATGGCTTTATGCACCTGTGTCGGACGAGGCTGCAAGTGGCTGTCAGACTTTACAGATTGGCCGGATGGTTGCTGACGTCTGTTACCTGGCGCCGCGACGCAGCTGAGAAGTGGGGATGGGTGCGGTGCTGAGGGGGGGGGGGGAGGCGCTCCCAGAGGGGGGAGGGAGGGGGTTGAGAGGCGGCAGAGGGGAGCGGCAACCGTCTAAGTACGTGTGTATGATCTGCACCTGCCGCTCTGCGCCGCCGCGCACCTGTGTCAGCCGCCTCTGCCGCCGTACCTCCGCTTTCTCTGCTGAGTCAGGGCGTCGACACAGCTGCCGTCGTTGACGACGAGGCACCGGCGGCGTCACCATACGACCGTCACCAGACGTCATCGGCAGGCCCGCGCCCACTGTGTCGGCTACAGCAGAGGGAGGCGCCAGCTCGAGACGGAGGAGATACGGCAGCGGAGGGAAGCACACCAGCTCAGAAACACAGGAGACGCGCCATGGCCAATACCAGTCAACTCGGCAGTAAGTACACTCGGCAGTAAGTATGTAACTGGTCAGTGGTCACCGTCCGCTGACGGAGACCTCGAGGATCCTTTCTAGGAATTAACAATACGACGCAATTAATTGCGGCCTAGTGATGCATGATATCATTATGCTCAAGGACAGACAGTATCTTACTAGGGTTACCCGCGTGCTCCGCAACGCGAAGGGGGGATTTTTTGACCCGTGGGTATTGGGTTGGTCTGTGTCGATTTGGTTGGTGGATATCCATTTCATTCGATTGCTTTTTGACGGCCAAGCATTTTGTAAGAAAACAAAAAGATCATTGCATCGAGGTGCCCGTGTCGTATTATCATGCGTTCTACTTTAGAATGATTCGAAAACTGGCGTGAAGTCTTTTGAGGGCCATCAATGAATTTCGCTAAAAATGACAATGTAATGGTTTGGAACATTTACATTTTTAAGGATACTGTTGCTAATCATGCAAAAATGAAGAGTGAATATTGGACAGAATTGAATGCTCTATCCAATGGTACCATATTCAATTGCCAAAGGTATCAGGTTATGCAGCAAACCCCGTGTGATTAATAAAGTGGCACAAAATTGACAAACACCATTTTCTCCTGTGATTTGCACCACCTTGATTTGGATCCATCAGCTTTTCACAATTGTTATATGAGAGGCGGTACCTTTCTCTTGCAAATAGGCGTTGTTTCAACTCACTCCATTTAACGGTCACCTAAAAATAAAATTAATTCCAAAATCCCTCAAAAACCGCAATTTTTCAAATAAAAGTGCCCTCTCCGGTGCACGTGGCGCGTGCTATCCTCTGCATTGCACACCATTCAATAGCCCGTTCAATTCTGTACACGATGCTGTTTTCCCCGTGCCGGTCGGACCCATGGTCACCAAGATATTGCACGGGAACTGGACCCGTGTCGGCCAAAATTAGCCGTTTTCGCCCGATTTCGCACGCCGATTTATACATGTAAAGTCTATGACGCAAATTTGCACTTTTTGAGCACGCGCCACGCGCTCCCTATCAATCCGATCGAGCTGAGACCCCTCAAAGGCACGTCGCGCATCCTTGATCTATAAGTTGTGCAAATTTCAGGGCGCTAGGTGCAACGGCCTGGCCTGTAGTCCACGCAAAGCACGACCAAGTCGGGACCTCGGTAACGGACAGACGCACCCTCCTCAAATAGTAATATAGATATCGCTATCATTCAATGCATTATTTTTTGTATTGTTGAGCCGAAAATAGCCAACACCGCTAACTAAGAAGTGAACTATATATAAAAGCTGCACAGTTGTGAGTCTGTGACAATTGACAAACATGTTTGGTCTTTTTTTTAAGCACTACATAGAGCGCGGACTGAATAATACCTTTCTAAAGTTTGAACATCATTCTGGTCATGAACAGTCTCAATATCTCCATAGCTGTTCACCACATGTTATCATTGTTATTTATCAACCGAAAAAACGTCACGAGAGTTGCATGGCAGCTAAGCTGCAGAAACATTTTTTTACAAGGGATAGAGGCCGAGGTCCGGCCTATGAGCCTGGTATGCATCCAGCTCAGCACCGTGAAAATATGCACATTGCGCAAAGCGTATCAAGCTGTTAAGCTGGTTTTGGAGACCAAAAAATAACTAACGGTAATAAAGATGTATTTATCTATTGATGTCAAGCCAAGCCTGTTCATAAAATTTCGATGGATTAAACTCACTTTTTAGTAATGAACTTAGTTACATGTTTAGCTATACCTATTAGTGAATAAATAAAAAAGGAGTGCGGTTTAGCTGTTAACTATCGCAAGATGGTGCGGCTGTCTAAATTGGCAAAACATAACCCATTGCGGTCATTCACGATATGTGCGCCCTTTCTCAGTTCCTCGGCAGCTGAGTGCTCGGCTCGTGCTGCTGCTGCTGATATCCCTCTCTATGGTGCACCGGTGTGCCAGTACGTGTCCCGCCAACCACTGCAACAGTGGTGGCATCTGCTTCCGGATCAACCAGGCAAGGCTTCGTGTGACTGCAGTTTTTCTGGCGGGTCTGAAACAAAAAAAAAATGGTGACTGATTAATCATGCTTAGTGCTGCAGTAAAGTAACTGGCCTTTTACTGATACTGAAAAGCGAATAGAATAAATTAGAAAAGTAACTTCACTTTCGTGTGAAAAATGCATGCATAGTTATCATCGCACATTTTTCTCCAAGTGTTTCCGATGATCGCAGAGTCTCTGACGGGTTCTCTGGCTGCTCAGGTGATGCATTACGACGTGGCCAAGTGTTTCCGGATCGCGTGTCGCTCCTCTGCGATCACCGGCGTGTCGTCAGTGGTCCGAATGGAGGACGTCGGCGACTGCGGACAGTGTGAGTTCAGCTCCGACGAATAGAAATTAATTGTTCAAGAAAACAAAATATTTGAACTTAAAAGGTTTTACCTTATTTCTTATCAATGATTACAAAAATGATTCTAGCAATTTTTAAAAAGATGTTTCAACAAACCTCATCTTTCTAAAGGTTGCGAGTATAACGCCGATATCTACGCCGTGGATGAAGAAGTGTTCTTCGAGGACGACAACTGCACCAGGAGATGTGCGGGGCAGGACGTCTGGTCAGGTGAGGAGTTAGGACTGTTCTGCACGATACGTGTGACGTCTAATGCTGAGACGGGTTAATTATGTAGGACGAAATGTCAAGCGATTTTACATTGGAGCGAACAAAATAACTACTCGTATTACGAAGGCTCGCTGTGACGCTGCTGCTTTGGCTATACAGAGACAGAGATGGGCAGCCGCTGCTACCCTGAGCCAGGCAGGTTTTCCCCTCCTCTCTCATCCCAATAACTCTTTTGGTCGTAGAGATTATATAGGTAGCGATATCGTGTTCATTGGCCACTGCGCCATGCAAGTTGCAAGCAAGAAGAAAAAGGGGAACAAGATAAGTTGAGCGCACACAACTGGATAGAATATTTCTGGGGTCACTGCGTGTCCGATATTTCAATAACAAGAAACAGCGCAGCAGCTCTGCAATAATAGCTCTAAGCTCATTTGAAATAGGAGATTGGGATAAAACTTTTCGGTACCAATCAATGACATCACTTGCACGTAATTCGCGTTCGATGCTACTAAGTGCTACTAAGTATCGACAGTCCCATTCTTTATAATCTGACATCATCGCCGAATGTTCCCGTTTGTTCAGTAATTAACGAAAGCTGCGTTTTCAGGCTGCATTGACGGGAGCACCACTTCAGCGAGCACCACCACCAGCGAAGCCACGACTCCACCCAGCACCAGCACAGCCGGTAACCGCTCGGCCCGTCACCAGGGCTAGAGGACGCTCTGAAACCAGCGAGAGACCGCGGCAGCCTCCACTGGCGGCTCGTCAGGACACGTGGTTCGTCGGATGAGTTTCCGCCAGTCTGAGGAGGCCATATTCGGTAGCACGTCTGCGACGTACCACCCCTCGAACCACAGACATGACGGATTGTCTGTACGGAGCCACGCGGATCGGGGAAATGGCCGCCGCTGGGGCCTGGGGGTGGGGGCCTGGGGAGCCTTTGTGGGAGGGGGGGGGGGGGCAGCATTGTCACAAAGCCGACTATGATCCCTCTCAGCACACCGATGAGAGCCAGTTAGGTATGTCACCGAGAACATCCGTTCGTGTGGAGGCGTATTTAGTGGTGGGTGTAATGAGGCTGACGATGACGAGAAGGTGGGGTCAGGGTGATGGATTTATTGTCTTCTCTTGGTCCCAGCTTGTGACGACCGCGGGTGCTCGGCTGCGCAGGAGCTACAGGTATGCTTCTGGGAAACATTCACTGATGAGGTTTTGTGGTTAGATCATGATGGGATTGACCTCGGTTTGGTATTATGTAGCGTCGCTATTATCGATACAACGATGGAAGACAATTGTCGTCATCTTTAGATGCATGGCAAGTATGCATATGTTACCGGCACACCACAAATGCGACGTGAACAACAAAAAGTAAATGATCATAAATTGTGAAGATCATTTTATGCGTTTTGGAGCCATGAGGGACGCTAAATGATATTATGGGTACGATTCGGTGAAATTTATTTCCAGTCTAAAAAATAAGATTTGAAACATTTATTGCAACAAGTAGCACAAGCACATAGCTGGAAAACGATGAATACATCACAGTGCATTGTATTATGCTAGAATGTATCCGTGTTAAGTTGTTCACACGACGCAGACAGGGTTTACTATGTCAAAAATTTAACTTATGACGCAAAGGTTACTATAAAATCGACCTGATTTGTTAAAAATGAAACAAAGATCGAACTTCAGTTTTTTCTTTCAAAATTTGAGACTGACAACGGTGATTTCTTCTCAGATTACTTTAACGACTTAAAACGTAAGACTTATTTAAGTTTATGATGTTTTGTGCTGGATTGGAGACCTTACGTCTCTTTAGATTTTGATATGTTACGAGCAGACGAGAGGAAAACATGGTCCTCCTTAAATTCGTCAATTGGCATGGGGTTCAGTGTAGGCATATACATTGTGCAGTACCTATGCATATAGGATTTATCATTCCAATATTCAAGTTTTTATTATCAATTTACTTATTTAGGAGACAAAACTCGTCTGCGACCTGCGCAACTGATAAAACTATACGTGCAGATGACAAATTGTTCATAATGTCGTATGTACCCGTATTTGGCTCAGTAGTTTGTAGGCTTAGTTCAGCATCATGCAAAAGAAGTCATTGCAACGCAAAAATATCAAAACATGCTATCTTTAGGTAGGTAAGTCAAACTGAGTGGATCGATCTATAATGCTTTAGGTTCGGTCCTCCCTTGTTTACATTTGTTGCCTGTCAAGAGTATACGCTTCAGATCCATTCGTCAGCTTCATTTCATTCATCAATTTCAACTCGGAGCAAATACAATTCGAAGTTTGCAATCTAATTCTGAATTTCAAATGAAACGACATGTGGAAATCTTTTCGAAGGCTGTTCGAAACGGAAGTGAAAGCGCGAAGACCGCTGCAGTCTTCTCATTACCATCTCACGCACAGGCCGCGAATACAAAATGGAGACGGAGAACTTCATTGTCCTAGAAGGGCGCAGATCGAGCGAACAGTGGCGAGGAGACCCGGGGCTGCTCGGTGCCCACTCTCCTTCTCATTCATCCTGTAAGATCACTGCAGTACGAGGACTCGCACTCAAACATACGGTTCCAGGTTTGAATATAGAGCGAACTTGCAGTTAAAGACTATCGCTTTAATACCTCTGTTCAATATTGTCAGTTTATGGATGCATGCCCAAAACAGAGTCATCTATCTGGAATCCCTAACCGTAAAACCGAATGATTGCTGTACATACGCACACATATAAGGCAATCGACAAAAAATGAGTGACATTTCCAGCCACCCACGCAATGTAGCGAAGACGTTTTACTGAACGTTCTAAATTTATGCCTTGATGTACTGAGTACACCGAAATGCAGGCAATGTGCCACCCCTCCACGGCCGTTCAGGTCTACAAAATGTCATGGTTCAGCCAGAAGCGGTGAGGCTGGTCCTGCTATGTACCGAGTGGAAATCCCCCGGTTCACGGTCAGGCCAAGTGAGTTCGGTGTCCAGGTTAAGTAGCCACTAGCACTGTCATTCTATGGGAGAATGATTGTGCACTGTGCACTGGTCAGGGTCGCCTTAGTCATGATAAGTACAGATGCGCAGTTCGTGTTCTTGATTTATTGGGTAACTCTAAGCTCATTATCAGATTATCTGCATAACCTCAATCAAATAGCTGGTAGGCCAAACCGTGACTTTTCTTTGGAAAAGTTCCAGCATTAGGTATGTGGCTGATGTAATATGTAAACGTCACTTGTAGCTGTTTTGGAGTATTTGCAGTCTTATAACCAATTAAATTAGCAAAAAGAGTGTTTCAAGCCTAAGATATTTGAAGGGACCTTGCTCCATATATTTAGCAGTTGTTAGAAGATTGTTGTTTAATCAACCCCTAAAACCACACAACAGCTGCTGTCTCTTGAAGTCACCACTCGCGCTGGAGCGCCCGGATCATTAAGGCAGCTCAGCACAGAAGTTTTCACTGAACCATTTTGCACAGGCACTGACGTTACATGTCTGCATGGAATCGGCTGATGACGCGATGACCATCCGCCATAAGCCGTTCATCAGCTCCCGTGGACTATAATCATCACATCCGTGTACCTCATGACTTCTTGCCGCTGATTCTCAGCTCTAATCAGGCACCCGGGACGACTTCTGTTCTATGGCCTTCACGTCGGTGAAAAAGGCGCACCCATAACGCGGCTGGACAAACGAGGGACATGAGCACAAGACAAGGTTTAATGAGTATTGGAACCGGTCTTACACCTTTACAGGTTGTAATCAGGCCACCAAGACGAGGACTTCGGCGCGACATAGCTGCGGCTTTTATCCGTCCTGTTTCTTTAGACGTTCTTCGAAGCTCATACCGCAAGACGCAGCGCTATGCGCTTCTGGAATTTACTGCTTACATCGTGTGACTTGCAACTCCTTGAAGTTATTAACTTTTACGGGTGTCAACCAAATGCAGGCGGTATGAAGGACAAAACGGAGACGACATGATGTGAAATGTCTTCGCTCTTCGCTCCAGCACCGTGGATTTGCTCTAGATACGATGTAAACGGCAGCTAGAAGAAAGAAATGTGTATTTGAACAGCTTTGTTGCTGTGAAGATAGGGGAGTTCAAACAAATGTCTAGAACACGTTGATTTATAAAAACAAAATTATAGGTAAGGATAGGTAGATAAACAGACATCCGCTCAGTTTACGCCAAATAAAATGAAGGATTACCAAAACCATAATCATATATCTGGTCATTTTCGGCAATGTCCGATCGTTTATAACGACACAACATCTAAGGACAGCATCTTACGGTGTCCGACGTCAACAACCTGTGACATCATCAGCCTTTGATGACGCCATCAGTGACTGGCAGCCGGGACACACTGGGAGTGCCGCCGTCCGCGGCTGGTAGTGGCGCGCGCTCAGGCCTTGATGAGCCAGATCTCGTTGCGGCGCCCCTCGCGCTGGGCCGGGTCGGAGAACATGGCCGAGATGACGGTGCTCTGGAAGGCGCGCTCGGCCTCGGTGAGGTGACGCTGCAGCGTGCCAGCCTGCTCGGCCCAGTCCTTGCGCTGTGCCACGCCGCCGAAGCGGCGCACGTAGACGGCCGTCTGCGGCACGGCCACCAGACGGATGTTATCCGTCAGCGGCGCCGGGAGGCTGGCCTGGTGGGAGGCCGGCAGCGGCGCGCACATGGCCGCACCTCCGCCGGCGCGGCGCTGCATCATCACCGGGATGGTGAGCTGCATCAGCTCGCCGGCGGCGTTCTCACCCTGCATGTACATGGCCAGCTCGAGGAAGTCCATCATGTGGTCTCCCTCGGACTTCACCTCGATGCACACCCAGTTCCAGGCCGGGTAGATGCGCTCCTGGGGAGAGATGTCAGCGATCGTGAGCAGCGGAGCGACGGGATCAGTGTCATTAGTGTACCGGCACATGACAGGTAGCTGTTGGTAGCATGGAGGGTGTGTCGACCGTGATGGCTGACTTATCACACAGCCATGAGCCAAAGGTGTATGAACATTCTTAACTTCAGTTAAACGCAATGCAAGTGCTGAGTTGGAAGCAAGTTACGAAATAAACAGTAAGCAAGTTACACAGAAAATTGTAACATATTCTACAGCATCTTACCTCAAATTTGTCGTTCTTCTCGACCAGGGTGTATGAGACCTCCTCGCGTGCCGGGGGCTTGGCGCCGCCAGGGGTGCCAAAGTTCTTCTTGAAGAACTCGGCCAGCCGGGGCGGCATCTTGGAGAGGTCCCCTGGCTTGGCCAGGGCCCCACAGACCACCAGCAGGAGAACGGGCAGCAGCTTCATGACTGGGAGGGTGAATGAAGTCGGAGTTCATAGCAAAAAACATACATATACATACATCAGTACATTTACATAGGCTTGTTGATTTTTGGGCTTAGTGTAGGGCAAGTCGGTTTAACTTATCCTTAGCAGGCGAGGACGTTGAGAAGCACTTGGTGAATCCTCAGCACTAAAGTGAAACAATACCATCGAAACGATTGCGTCGATACGATCTTGGAGCTTATGTACTGCATACAGAGCATGAGCACGGCACAGCCATAAATTATTCTGGGCACATTACGAAAGCGGACATCCAATGAGAAATAATCTCTCTCTGCTTCACTGAAAACCGACAAGCAGGCACATGATCATTGCTCACGCAGTCACAACTTTACAAGCCATGGTCCTTCGAACATTAATTTTTAGCACGATGCTATATGAAAAAACTCGACATATGCACCTTGCATATCTTGAGCAACTTTGCAAACAAGTTTTGGAATTGCCTACAGCAGGACGTCGGACAGGACGCCACAATGTCCGACAGCCAGCACCGCTGGAACTCACCTGACACGTCCGGTACAACTTCTGCCCGACACTGAACAGGAGCCGATTTATAAAGGAGGGCGCACCGGAAGAGTGAGACGGTGGTCTCCTTCACAGCCGAATGCCTGCACAATGTCTAAAAAGGTGTAGAATAATTGGATGAATTGCGAATGAATTGTGCTTCCGAGTGATTGCGTTTGCCGGGTCACTGAAGTAAAGATCCTGATTGCTAAGCGATATCTGGGGTATTTTGTACAGTTACACTCATAACGCTGGCCATTATATCGGGTGAGCTATATGAGTGGAAATTCATGCTTTTTTGTAACTGTTAACAATCATTATATAAAGCTGTACTCATCGTAACTTATGAGGGTGATCAAATCAATCACCAACTTTAGCGACAATGCCTGTTTTCGTTAGCTTTGTGTTCGCCAAGTTCATGATACTGCCACTTGCCAGTGTCCGATCAGTCGTGCGGTATTTGATAAGCAATATTTAGCACCCCACTCTTCCATGTCAAAGCCGTCAACCTTGATCTTAATTGCGTCTTCTCTCGTGACATTCGCCCACAATAAGGTGATTATCTGTAATGACTAATGAGCATCGTCCATTACTTAACAGCAGGTAGGGAATTTCTATTTACAGGCAGGCAAGAAAAATTAACGTAAGAAGATAGTTAAGTAAATCCATTGCCGTGAGTTTCCCTTCCTTCCAACGAAGAAAAAACTAGCACCGTCCCACCCAGTCCCAGGTATTGATGTATTGATAGCTATTATCCATCATTGCTGTGGTAAAGACAATCCATGGATTGTCCATGGATGGCCTTGAGTAGACAGGACCTGAGGGTAAGTACACCTTCCACAGTTGCATCGAGCATAATTTATTGATTATTATTCCGTCGGTGCTGTCAACAGTCCGTCAGCATCGAGCCGATTTGTCGGGGAATTTTACAGACTCGATAATGAACTATAGCCGCACAATGGTATTTTTCATGTCCGGCCTGTATCCAAATATAGAATAATCTACTGTCAGACGCTATAAATGTTGGGTGCAAATCAAGTGCAACTCACTATCAGTTGGTTCAAGTTTAAAACTTAGGTATTTGTGTTACTTGAATGCCGTACTACATATTTCAAGTAGAGCGCTATTCTAGTCCCACCAAGGAAAATCTGTTCCGTCATTAGAATACCTCCTTGGGGTCGGGCACGGCTGCACGTGCGTAAATATAAGCTTATAAACCTAGAATATAGAATGATCGGATATCTACGTGATTATCCTCTCACTTACAACTTCATTACCCGCCTTAATCACTAAAGTTGCATCACTAAAAAAGTACCAACCCGACGCGTGTAGTTGGTCTTCTCAAGAGACTTCTGAAATCATGCGCTTACTAGCCGTAACTACGAACGCCACGCACGGATGTTGCGTACACGGCTGGGCCTTCTTTGCGCCACCTGACCTTGAGAACCGGCTTTAGATTAGGGAGCACTGTACGTACATGTTGCATATGGTTCATGCCACTCCTGTTCATTTAGACGCAAATTCATCAGTACTTGAAGTCCTGTTCATAGCCAACACTTTTCCAGACCGCCTCTTCCCTAAAAAGGGCAAGAAAGGGGCACCAGCCGCCTCGAGAGCCGCTTTCTACGTGATGCGTATCTCCAATACTGCATCACAAGTGCAGAACACTCCCTTATCTCTGGTAATAAGTTGTTATCCCATTCTTTATCAATAATGGGTTTTTCGTCTTTTTTATCAATAATGTGTATTTCGTCTTTTAAGCCTAAGAACGCAGCACATGGATGACAAAGTACGTGATTCATTTATGAATACATTAAAATGTTCTGTGCTGGTGATTCTGCTTCATTTAACAACGAATGCCTTGAAGCTCAGCGTGATTGAAAATGTAGTTCGTTCGTTATGATATACCTAAATCAGAGTAAGCTAAATATCCTCTTTTTTGTTTATGCGGACGATAAAATATTTCCGATGCATTTTTATGTCACTACTGTTTTATTTGCATTTTAATTATTGATATTTTTTGTTATGCTATAAATGTTGCTTAGTTGTTTGCTTAGTTCATCTATGGGATCGATCTCATTTTTTTTTTCAGGTGCTATCTGTTAACTCGCGCCCCGTAGGGCTACCGGCGGACCCTACCACCCGTAAGGGGGGCGTTTCGGCCCCCCCCCTAAGATCTCAGAAAGTTACCGGCCGATTTTCAAAATTCAAACGGCGTTCGATAGCCCCACCCGGGAACTACCTTGTGACCAAATTTCATTGACCTAGGTCAAACCGATGACGTTACAAGTCAGGTCAAAGGTCAGATTTTCACCGTTCACAGGCATTTCAAGAAATGTGTTGTGAAATCGAGTTAATTGGTAATTTATTGAAAACCATCGATCGTACATTGTTCGTCAAACACATAATTTGCTATCTCAGGTCACTGATACCAGGTCAGGTCACAGCGAGGTCAGGTCACCGGGGCTCACAATATGAAAGTGTCGTGTGATACATGTTTTATGGTCCATTTTACATGACAAATGCGATTATGTGGGTTAGGCAGTCTTTGGGGCCAGCCTAGGTCACGTTTTGGTGAAGGTCAGGTCAAGGTCAGGTCAAATTAGGTCAAATTTTAAAGTTGATATTTTTGCATAAAATGGGTATCGATTCGATGCAGCTCGTCACGGGGAGTCTAATGGTGGTCTTTGTTCTGCTCTACAAGGTCTAGAATTGCCAAAAATTGAGTTTGAAAATTTGACGTCATCATTTTTGAACAATTTTTCACTATAATTTGGCCAAAAAACGAGGTATCGATCTGAAATTTGGTATGTAGATAGAAGACGGTAGGTACTATCACATATATTCCGTTTTTTTTCGAAACTCAAAAAACTTTGTGGATTTTTTGGCTAATATATAGAAAAAAATGCTTTTTTGATTTTTGGGGGCCAAAACTCAAAAATTTCAAAAATCCGAGATAGCAGTTTTGTAGCCCTGTTAATTCTACACCTTTTATGTCATGATCATTTTTCTGTATCTTCAAAGCTCGGGCCTGACAGGTCTTCTCGCGAAGGTCTTTTTTCGGTCGAAAATGACAGAACATGACGTCATTCTGACGTCATTTGTGTCCAACCTATCATAGCCTTTGGAAATTCTATTTGTCACAATGTGTAAAATTAATGCCCGGAGGGGTTCTGAAAATTTGGTGGCGATATCTTCAGCCGTTTAGGAGATATCGACCTAAAAGGACGGGGGGGGGGGCCGTTTCGGCCCCCCTACGGGGCGCGGGTGGAGGTTCGCTATCACTTGTTTTGGCTGCCGGGGCCTGTGTCTCTCATGACCCGACGATGGTCCGGGGGTGAAGCTTCCCAGCCGCTACGTGCTGCATCGGGATAGATTCAGTTTTCAGCGCCACACACAGTGCCTCGGTTCTGCGGTGACCTGGTAGCTCGTCAGACTCGTCATGTGATTGTGGTGCTGATGAAGGAAGGGGAACCGTGGCGTGCGTTGAGGAACCGTTTCTATGAGTCAGTTATGTTTCCTGATATCTCCAGCAAACTATAGTTTGCTCTATTTTCAAGTTACTCAAACTATAGTTTTGCTCTATCTCAATATATTGAGATAGCAGCTACATTAGAATCGACCCGAGACGGTTAGGGCAATCCGCAACGCAAGTCTGTTTTTTTTTTTAATTCTTGTTCTTGCTAATGTCTTTACAAAATAAGATAATGATTTATTCATTTTTGGCGTTCTGTTTGAAATATTAGACTGGTTTATGACACTCTCCAGTTGCTTCATCTTGACCATGCCATACGCAACCGCGCAGCTCATGACATCAGTCGCGAATTTCGTGGATCGGCAGATTGCTGTTTGTGCTCGGTCACGGTTTATTTCGGCATCTGGCCGGGACCCGGTACTCCAGTTAGCGACCTTGGAGTCATCCCGGCCCCGTGACCGTCACGAGCCGAGCCGTGCCCACTGCTCAGACCGGCCCGAGCGGGTCGGCGGCCACCCGCAGACAGACAGACCAAGCCTCGGCGCGCGCCGCGAGCCTCCCACCGGTTCCGCCAGTTCGTCGAGCGGTGAGGCAAGCGACGCATCGCACCGAGGCGGCCCGGGCAAACCTGCTGCCAGAAACGCTGCAATGGGAAAACCGGATCCTGCTGAAATCGATAGTGTAGGGCCTAGTCTGCTCGGCTAAAACGGCGGCGACTTGGTAGACTTCTGACCTGGATAAGAATAGAGCAACACGTAGGCGGCTCTTTTTAAATACACCGGCTCAACGTGGCGTTTATTAAAAACACAACCTTCTAAAGGCTCATACATATTTCACAAGGATATAACACATGTCGGACAGGATGACACGTTGTACAGAATCCATGGACAGTTGTACCTTTCGACCTACTAATCTTATAACACTAAGATGCCAAGTTGTTTCAGGCCTAGGCGAAGACTAAGAAAAGCCTGAACAATAACAATGTGAACGTACAATAATATACACTCAGCTGAACGATTGACATCTCACTGACCACCCGCAAGATCGCTATTGGTACACCGAGCAACTCGGGATAAGCAAGCATGCGTAATAGGTGTAGTGTGAAAAGCCGATTAGCGGTAGACAGAAGTCACGGCAGAGAGCACTGAACAATGAACATGGTACCGACTACGAGTCACTGCTGCCAGTCATGCTAGATAAGCAGCACACGCACCAGTCCGTTCACTAGCGCAAGTGGTTTGATGTTATTTCTGGCCGCTGCACTTGTCCATGACACTCGTACCGAAAAGGTTAATGATGTATATGAAGCCATCACATGAGCCATCTCCACAGCCAAACCCCACACCCGTAAAGCCACAACTTATTCACTCTGGAGACTTCATCACAATGCCACCGAAGCGAAACACGCTTTGACTCAATATAAGTCTTCAACTGACCCTATCAAGTTGAGTTGTCGAGCGCAAAATCAGCTATCATCACTGATTCAGCGGACATTCCCTGTCATTGCGGAAGCTCCCACCTTGCTCGACTTTGTCTAAATCTAGACCATGCACTTTGCAAAGCATCCGGTTTAATGATATCATACACCGGAGTGCGTCACCGCTGACGTTTGGGCAGCCAAGCAGCTTGTGCTCTAACCGGATGCATAGTGCGGCGCGCGTCTCTCTCAACCGGAACGGATCATCTCCGCCTTTCGCGTCTTGGGCACGAACTTGATGTTGAGCGGCCCGTGCTTCTGGATGGTGAGGCTCATCTCGAAGACGAGATCCTCATATTTCTCGTTGGTCTCCACCCAGAACTTGCGCAGGATGGCGGCCACCATGATCTTGACCTCCAGCATGGCGAAGCGCTGGCCGATGCAGTTTCGCAGCCCTGCTGAGAAGGGGACGTAGCTGTAGGGGTGTCGGCCCTTCATCGCCTCCGGCAGGAAGCGGTCAGGGTCGTAGCGGTCCGGCTCCGGCCAGTGGTTGGGGTCGCGGTGGATCATGTATGGGAAGATGAGAATGTCGATGCCCGGCGGGATCTCGTACTCGCGGATCTGTGCCGTCTCGTACGTCCTCCGACTGAAGAGCGTCACAGGAGGGAACAGACGCATCGACTCTTTGATGGCGCACTCGAGGTACTTCAGGTTGCCGATGTCCTCGCGAGACGGCGCACGGTCATCACCGGCAAACACCTCGTCGAGCTCGCGCTCAATCTTGCGCTGAACGTCTGGAGAGCGGGCGATGTTGTACAGTGCCCAGTTGATGCACGAAGTAGTTGTGTCGTGGCCCTCGAACATGAACGTGTCCACCTCTTCGCGGATATCTTCGTCGCTCATGACGGCGCCATCCTGCGCTGTCATGATGAGAAGATCGAGGAAAGCCAGGCGTCTCTTCGTCACGGGCATGTCCTCGATGCAGAAGCCGCTGTCACCGAGGTGGCCCTCCTCCAGGAGTTCTTGGCGTCGTTTGGCGATCACCGAGCGCGAGAATCCGTGCAGGATGGCCAGTGTGTCCTTCTGGTGCTGCTCCTTGCCGAGCATGCGGAACACAAACGGAATGCGGAGCCACGGCCGGATGGACTTTTGCTGCACGATGTTGCCCATCTCGATGACGGCTCGTCGGTAGGCGTCCTCACGCGCGCCGAGCTCCACACCCATGGCAGTGTGGCAGATGGCGTCCAGCGTCGTGTCGCCCACCAGAGGCCACACGTTCACGGTGGACGAGCGCTGCACGCGCTCCTGCAGGGTGCGAACCAGCGCCTGACTGTGCTGCTGGAAGATGGGCAGGAACTGGTCCAGAATCGAGAAGTGGAAGGTCGGCGTCAGCAGCTTGCGGTGCTTGTGCCAGTGCTCTCCAGAACCGGTCAGTAGACCCTCGCCGAACCACGGGCGCAGGGAGTCGTAGTCGAGGCCCTTGTTGAGGAACTTCTTGCTGTTCATCACTGGTTCGACGTACTCGGCCGTCGAGACCAGTACGTAGTGGAACCAGAGCACGTAGCCGTAACAGATGCCTGGGAAGTACTCGACCCACATGCGCATGGTGGGGATGAGCGTGGTCAGGGAAGTGGGAAGATCCAGAAGGTTCCCAATGAGGGGCCGAGTCCTTCTCGGCATGCATTTCAGTACCGGATTGTCACAGAACTTGAAGCTCAGTGCAAACAGAACAGCGGCCGTGACCAGTAGTCCTTTGATGCACGAGAACATCATAGGTGTTATGACGAGTCCGAGGATCTCCATCGTTTCGATGTTAGGTGATGTCACGAGGAGAGAATGTTAGCATCCAGGTTGGCCACAGGCCGTCGATTCTCCGCGGTATCACTTGGGCTATCCAGCACTCCTGGCTGATGCAGCGTGAGACTAAGGCCACCAACGGGCGATGGAATCTCGAGGCTGTGCGTCGCTCCTTGGAAATTATCTCCTGCAAGAAGAAAAACGGTGTCAGCGTTATAGTAATGCTGATGAACAACTGAGAACATTAATGATCTGCTGACTGTAAATGATAGAAAGCTGAGTCAGCACAGGACTTGCGATAGCTCGCCAAAGATTTCGTACTTGTGAGCGATCCTTGAAGGTCTAAGAGCAAAACTAATGATAAGAGATAAGTAGAACAATAAGGGTCAATTGTCGCATAAACTTTACTGCTTATTTTTGCTTATATAATTATATGTAAAAAGTATTCACGCTGCTTGATTAACTTCACAGCGAGACGGTTAGTGAGGCGCTACACAGAACATTGAACGTCTACAAATTGATTGATTGGTGAGCGATTGTCTTTAAAAGACACTAGAAGTAAAGCGACGAACCGGTTTATGCAGCCCTACTCCTAGGTCAGCATAGATAGAAGAGAAGGACATTGATGTCAATCAATGCAATCATTTGCAGACGCTTGCTCCATCGATGACAACGTATTAACTATTGAGGACTGCACACGCAAGCCCTCGTGCAGCCGAGTACCCAGTAATGCGTATCTGACCTCGCTCAATGGGGAACATTTTACAACTCGTTATTTTATTACCCGGGTGCGAATGCAAGCACGCTAGCAGGTATAGTCTGTCTCACTACAGACTACATGCTCCGCGACTGATGCAGATGGGCGTCAGAAACGCAGCCGCGCAGACCGCTCCTCGAGAGCAGCAATTGATCACCATTGGCGGCTGTATCTATGTGGTGGCTGGTGTTTAGCTCCCTCGTCCAGGACAACAAAACCAATCCACTGCTAAATTTTGCTGGCTTTGATGTCCACAGAAACACCACCTTGCAGCTGGCTCTCGGTGTGGAGCCACTGAGCTGGACGCAAATTTATCTGCAGTTCCGAGTAAAGTCTAACCGTGACCTGAGCTCGCTCATCGGCTGCACCGTGCGGCGCACGACAAGGTCAGGACGCATGCTGGCGCCGGAAGGTCACCGCCCGCGCCGCCGAGCGGGTCACATGCACGCTTCACCAGGCGCCTCACGCACTCCAAGGGTGTCGTCACCGCCTGCTGTGACCTTGGGTCGGGCGCGAACGCCTAAGTCGCCTGATGTAAGTTTAGCGGAATCCTCAGTGGCCGCTGGCCGCTGGCCTCAGTGGTCTTACAGAAATCAGCTTTGAATAAGCATTCTCCAAGGTGTGCCCCCCCCCCCCACACACACACTGCAGCACTATACCGATGCAAGCATTCCTTGAGCTCAATTGATGAGTCGTTCGTCTATGTAGCTGCAGCCATAAAAAACATGTCGGAAAAAGAACTCAAAATGCATCCAAACGACGGCTTAACTTCAGCTGCACCTTCGGATCGCCCCTGAGGATCGCACCTCAGGAAACGGCAGAGCCGGGCTGAGTCGCCCTGTACTGAGAGCCGGGCTGAGTCGCCCTGCATATGTTATGCGTTAAGTGCGTCTGCAGCCGATTTGGGCATACATCAGGCTGCACGAACTTGGGTGGGACGCTGCCCGTGTCCGCGGCCACTTGGATATGCAAACCCTTCCGCTTATACGGCGAGCCGAGACACGTGAGCTGACCAGCGGTGTCTCCGGTCCCTGATGGATCGATTGGAGGTTCAGCAGTCCGCAGCCGCCGTCGGATGCCGCGCATACTGATGAGTCCGGCCATGTGTTACCCATTGACAACATTGACACCTGAGTGTCGGCTATGGTGCGCCATACTTTATGTAGATGGTTGCCTGTTGCATAACCTCGTACATTGCTGCAGGTCATCGCTAGGGCGCAAAGGAATAGTCGTGCTCATGAGGCGATAGGTAATTTAGGAACTGCAGGAACAGGGAACGGTCACAAAATATTTAACTTAGAAATCTGGCATGTGCGCCGGGAATGCCGAGCATAGGTTTTTAAAAGTGTCCAAGACCCAAGTTATTCATGGAACGTTATTTCCTTAACAACCAACAGCAAGGGTAGCTTGTCAAACATATGCTATTAACTCTTTCAACAGCCCCAGACACAAACAACCACTTGAACGACCGTAATGACCAAATGGCGGCATTAAAAGCGTGCAATTTTTGTGCAACACCACATCCCGTCTTCTTTCAGACATCGCTCATGAATTCTACGACATTGCGAGAGTCATAAAATGAGTTCAGAGGCAGCAGATGGTGAAGAGAGGAATGGAAATGCATTAGGATAATCAGGAGAAGCGTGAACGGTATGACATTTATGAGAGATAACCACTTTTATACGAACGAGGAGCTCACAAATGCAAATGATCGTCAGATCGAAAAGCGCTTGCTCCCATTTACAACTCTGTTCGTCAATAGCGTAGCGTAGTTAAAAAATTTACAGTGATTGGCGTGGCTAACTGAAACACCCTCAAATCACCGATAGCTTTTCCTTTTCACGGGCCCTTTATAGCACAGGAATCCTTCACAGTTCCAGCGTCATTCCAGCACTTTTCATGCTTCTTCATGCCTGTTTGGTTTCCGCGCTTCATTCTCACGAGCCCACGAGGATGGCATTGAGTCAGTCCGTGCAGACTCACCCAGCCGTGGACCGCAACGGTGCGCTGCTCACAACCCACCGCAATCCCATCTGGGCCAGCGGCATTCTACAATCCGCACGGCACGCGAACGCAGGATTTGTACTGATGGTGAAACACCTCAGCCGCCCCTCCCTCTCCTATTCTCAGCTGACCGGGGCTGGAACCGGTGGGCGACCCGGCCTTAGAACCTGAGCGGGGGCTCTAACTGAGTTCACAGATCCACCCACCCACGAATTCTTTGGATGCTGAGAAAATCCTTCGACATTCGTTGCACAAATGGCGTGCCACGAAGCCCACATCGTGGCCGATGCGGATCACTGTGGTTATTTGGGACTGACCACAAAAATCACTTAGTTTTATCTGCGATGTGCCTACGATCTACGATAACGGTACGATGGGAACACGCTGGTCGTTACATCAGTTGTTAACTGGTTAGGCAATAGAGTTCATGCTTAGTGGCGATGGCCTAGTAAAATTTTCCTTAACCAACATTGTCTGGCCCAAAAACAAGGCCAGAATCGTGTCGAACTCCAAGGTACATTACGGCTTATTACAAAACCGTCTTAGTTCCAAGGGCAGTCAGGTGTTATTTCGGCATTTCAACTGTGCCGATTGCCATCATATAGGGAGCCACCGCGATAGTCACACCTAAGAACGGTGACAATGGATAAGTGGGAAAAGGAACGTGGACCAGAAAGTTATCCATCGCCACGGTTAGATGAAAATGGGTTGTATTGCCTACCTTGAATAGATGTAAGTACTGTGAAGTTTAAAGGGTCTCTTGCAAGATCAATCACTTTCGTTTTCATTCACATTATGATTATATTCAAGGCTAAAACAAACAGCTGAGCTCATACGAGATTGGCGAAGAGAGATCTAAGAAGCTATGCTACAATATAGTTTTTCAGTCGTCATCGTGTAAAGATAATTCACTGCGTTCGACCAGTGCCCATGGGTCATGGCCCAGCTGAATTGAGTGCAGAAGACAAACCAGTTGGGCGCGGACCTCGCGGATGCACAGAACCCTTTACCCACGCGGTCGGCTATGGCGGCAACCGCCGCGCCGCCGCCAGCGGGACCATCAGTTGTCTAACCAGCAGAACACCGAACTGACTGACGTCTGCCATTAAACATGGAACTATAGCCTGCATACCATGAAGTGCGACCGCTGTCCTTGATTGAACTGCAACCGGCGGCGGCGGGAGCTCACTCGCATGGCGACATCATTGCAGCTCGCCGGAGAGCATGCAATCCAACTTTCCAATTAATCGCAAGGTCTCGGACCGATGATATTGGTTATCATGGTGTAGATGTACTCATCTACTTGGTAGATAATGCTAGGGCATGTCCGATAGCAGACTATCTGAGCGTTTGTGTAACAGGCTTTATTGTAGCCTATAGGTACTGCGCCATATCTAGCACATTGCACTATCGAGAGACGAGAACCATAATAAGTGACAATAACTAACAGACAGAATAGAAATAATAGACAGCGCAAGTCGTAGTACGGGGACCCGCAGTTGCTACTGTACACGAACCGCAACTCTAGCCGTCTGTCCTGCCCAGTAACAACCGATAACATTGATAGCGACTGCCAGTCCCTGTACAAGAGCAGCTGAAGTTTTCTGTGAGTGCCCTCCGACAGCTTATCGTTGTTCCCTGTGAGGGTGCTGGGACAATTTACTCAGGGTCGCTGACGCTGTACAGTAGCAACTGCGGGTCCCCGTACCATCAATAAATGTACTCGTACAACGTGAGCACCCGAAATCTTTAGAAAAAAAAAATGTTCAATTATTTCAAATAATGTTTCACAAATGGTCACAAATGGCTTTAGGTAAATGTATAATTTTTTCATCAATAAATGCATTGCACCTAAAAGTGTCACGAGCAACTGCAGAGTACAGAACACAGCAGTGGCGTTAAATGCCTTACGATACTGCTACATATTCGAGCGTGTGCCATAGACCATGAAGGCCTGAATAGCCAGCACGACCGGCCTCGAGCTCGGCAGCGCGGCACCGGTTAGAAACATAAACACCCACTTCTGTAGGCATCTGTTCGGGTACAAACATACTGCAGATCTCCACTAGGCCAGCATTTAGGGGCACGTATTGCATGCGTCAGGAATTCAAGGCTGAACAGGAGTCGAGAGCCTGCTGCTGAAGGATCATGTTGATGTTTGGAAATCGTCTAATGTGAGCCAAACTGATCACGGCGTTTGCTGTTACACCAAACTGAAGACTGTCTTATATTACTATTCTATTTTGTCTAACTATTAGAGCACCGGACCGAGTGCCGATGTCCTCAACTATAGGATCATTAAGGACGCATTTAAAGTCCCAGACCATGAGTTATATGGACCGCGTAACGTATCGTTTATATATTCACCGCACTGGGGACTGCCGTCAACGCCAGCCGCTATGTCAACTCCATAGTTGGCTGGGTGGTTACGGGTTAAGCACCGCCCATGGCTTGTTGATAATGAATGAAACACGCCTGTTTCGGTTAGTTCTCTGACTGGTTCTACTCTGATATCTCACCGAGCAGGTCTGTTGGCGGGTCCGCTCTCCGGGACTGCCCGTCACACACCGGCCGGTCCACTCTCTCTCCGCTGTACGGGCGCTCCGTCCGTCCGCGTCCGTCGGTCGCTCCGAACAGTGCAGCTGACCGCGCTCGGTACACCACTCGACTGACGACCGGTCACTGGCCGCCCCCTGTTATAGCCGCGCCTGTGACGTGGCACACCCCCACCCCTCCCTCCATCGGCCATCCGCAGCCAGATACGGTCCCCGCCCGGCACACACATGACTCTTTTCAAAGCCATATGTATTTTCTGTCTGATAAAATCATTATATACTCAAATATAATGATTTATAATATAAACAAATAAATATAATGATTTAATTATATAGATATAATTATAATAGATATCCTGAGGGCATCGAACTTGTACTTCGAATTTTTCAGGTCAAAGCTAGGTCGTCTTAGGCCATAGAAATTTTATGTCGTACATCGGCCACGTGACACATGTTTAACGATCCATTTTGGCCATTGGGTAGGGTGGGGCAAAGCGCCTACCCTAACTTCCCAGCCTCAGTATCTCCTTATCTTACAAATTTGAAGAACAACTATAAGTAGCTGATCTGGTAGCTCATTACCTTAGCTTTCTTCGAATAACACATCAGAAACGTATGGCATGCACGGTTTTTGAGATATGCCGTCCGATTTGAGAGGATTTGGGGCATAACGCCCCGTCCTGAACGTTTCATTACAATTTGGATACTCTGGCAAAATAATGTAACATTCATCCATGCCTCATTTACTCGACAGGTTGCATTATTAAAAACATCTTAAACACTGCTGTCGCCACCCCAGTCCTTATTCAGTCAACGCCTCTCAGTGCCTTTAGGAGCAGAGATCAAATCCTGCAAATAAATCGTTCTAGACGAATTCCTAACCAGCAAATTGCATATTTAATAAGAATCCTTAGCATTAGAAACGTATCCCGCCAATCACTTTGAGCCCAAAATGCTCGCAGTTGTCCGTACTGTATAACTCCCGTTGGTCCATGATGGGCGCTTTGCCCCACACCAAAGTGGGCGTATTATCCCAACAGCACATTCAAAACAAAATTTACCTTCATGAAGCCTGTCACAATTGTGTTGCAAACAAATAAATGCTCCAAGCATGGCTTAAATCTGCAGGTTCGAAATAGCAAACTTGTAGTGCCTTCTTCAATCTCTATCAGACAAAGTTTTAGCACTAAGAATGCATGTAATTCCTAAAAAAAGTCAGACTATACCAATCTACATTTTACCTCCAGAAAACCCCACTTGTGGAAAAAAGGGAGTACAAGCAGATTCCTGCGTGCTCTTGAAAATGGCTATCAATGCTTCTCCGAATAGTAGAGCATTTCACAAAAAAGAGGGGTGGGCCTTTACCCGCCCCCACCCTACCCTATATTTCGACATCAGTGACGTCTGTGTCATCTGAGGCCATTTTCAGCTAAATATAATGCAGGTCAGGTCACTTTCAGTCCCAAAAAGTCAAATTTCGAAATTGAATTTTTTCCACAAAAAGGTATCTATGTATCAGATGCAGCTTAAGCTCAGGAGCACAATAGCGCTATTTTTAGTGCACTATGTCAAAACGTACTGAAAATTTAGTTTGAAGCATTGATAATTGTGAAAAATTGACTAAGGCAAAATGTAAGAGCCAATAACTTGGTCTTTTTTAACCCGCGAGTTGCTGGGGGGGGCGTTAAACGCCCCCACTTTTTTCGCCGGGCCATAGCATAAAAACGGCGCGCCGCAGGCGCGCCAAAATTTGCGTACCTGTAGGGAATTGATTGAAGTTTATTGTGACAAAGTTTCAAAAAAATCGGTCGGAAAATTTTTGAGATATCGAGGTTTTAGTGACGTCATGATTTCTGAGTTTTCGACCAAAAACGGCATATGTTCAAAAAATCATATAAAATCACAGAATAGACATACAGACATGCCGTAAACGCCATTAGACTGCCAATACCATGGTCAATCAAATGGCTATCTTCGATCATTGATTATCGTTCCGCATTTTCCATAATCTTGAACTGAATCTTGGCAATTTTTCGTGACTTCTTCACGACCATGATATATGAATTTCTTAAATTGAACTTTTTGAGCCAAACACGTACACATATGATAAAATGAATGTCACCATCGTGTTCTACGCCCCAAATTACCTATAAAACATGTGTCACAGGCTGCGAATATCAGTTTTGATTTTCGGGGATATGTGCCTACCCGGTTGACCTGACCTTGACCCTGACCTATGCTTGACTGACCCCTACATGGAGCTGACACTCTTGTAGGCCTTATAAGATGGATTGTGCACCGTTTTGACAGAGTTTATGGCGAGAGGCGCCCATTGCGAAGTCCTGAAGTCCATGCTACTGAAAGCCCGATTTCAGGTGTTTGACCTGACCTTGACCTCACCTGTGACCTCAAAATTCAACTTTAAAGTACTCATCTGAAGCGTCTCGTCGCGCTCTTTCGTTTGCCGCCTCGTGCGTTTCGCTGCGCCTATTGGTTCTCGAGTTATCGGCTGGGGGCGTTTAACGCCCCCCCCCCCCCCAGCAAACGGTGGGTGGCGAAATACCCCAGCAACTGCCGGGTTAAAGGTAGTGTGCCAGCTTTCCTGGACCGTATGGAGTTAATGGCCCAGATAAGGAGAACCGGATTTTTAGAACTTATCCATACCTTCAAAACTCATGGAAACGTCTTAAATTCTTCAAATTTTGAGTACCCCAGTGCGAAATTCGTCCCGACGGGTTGTCGGTCGTACCCCAACCACATTTCACACCACTATGAACAATAAATGCACACACTGAAATCGCTATTACCGATATGCTCATCCAATCAGGTTTCGATAAACCCGTTCATCATCATCTCCTGCGGTTTCGAACACGCCTGTTAGGTGGTGCGGTAGACCGCGCCCAAAGCCAGGGCCCCGGTAACGTGAGGTAGCCGAGTCGGGGCAGCGTGCGCTGACCCAAGCCGGGGCCGCGCGTCCTCCCGGTGTCATGTGATAGCCCGGGGCTGCCCGCGGGGATGCGGTAGACCGCGCCCAAAGCTGCGGCCCCGGCTTGGGTCAGCGCACGCTGCCCCGACTCGACTACCTCACGTTACCGGGGCCCTGGCTTTGGGCGCGGCTTCTGCTCATACTTTGTGGTGCGGTGGTGGTGCGTCGGGCCGCGCGCTCTGACTTACGGCCAAGAATAATGCGTCAGCTGATCATTGTCATTTCTGCCACTTGCGTGTGGTGAAACGGGGTCATAACTTAAGAGACGGCTTTTTCATATCAATTATTTTACATAAAATCATATTTCAAACCATAAATAATGTTCGACAGCCAAATAAAAGAAACAATACCAATACAGGCTTACAGTTTAACCCTCGCCCGTATTGGTGTTTTTCCAGCCGCGAACGTATAAGGGGGGGGGGGGTCCGTTGGACTCCCCCCCCTTGCCGTTTCGCCCCTGATCGAGCTAGAGCTTCGCGGAAAAAACGAGCGTGTTGCCCGTGACGAGAGGAAGCCGATGACACCCAATTTTAAGGTCCTAGGTCATTGGTTGACCTTGCAGGTCAGGTCAATGACCTAAAAGTCGGGAAAATCGGGACCTGTTAGAACGTCGTAAAGTGTGGCTGCTACGGGGTTTTTCGGGGCGCTGATCACGAATATCATGTTAGTTTTGATCACAGATGATGTCTTTATGCATTTAGTCCAGGTCGGGTCAGGTCAGGTCAGGTCAACCAGTAGGGGTCCTGCCGGGTATTCCTAGTAGGTGTCAACCACCTCTGACAGCTTCGTAACATGTTACGAAGGCACCAAAACTACTTCGTAAATGTTCATAAGGCTGCTAAATTCGAATTCAGCTCCAAAAACTGGCCTAGAAACATGTAAAACTCAAAAAAGTGAACCGAGGTCACCAAAGGTCAATGACCTGACCTGACCTTCAGGTGACCTTGACACCCACCCTAATGCATGGGGGCAGCATCATATCACATGTTTGAACGCTTGAAACCACGAAAAGACTGCAAACGCGCGGCTAATGCGAGCCGACATACGTCGAATCGCGATTACGGCCAAACATGGTCTCGAAAAGTAGGTCACAGGTCAAAGGTCATTGGGTTCAGGGTCATGCAATTTTCAGGGTAGGTGTAAAATTGATTAACGCGAGGGTACTGAAAGTTTCGTCGCGATCGGCCGCTTTTTACGCGAGTTATTCGCGAAAAACCATGGGGGGGGGGGGTCCGTTCGACCCCCCCCCCCTATACGGGCGAGGGTTAAGGCTCGACATTGTGTTGTCTACAATTAGACAGCTGATAACTCATTCCCGTACGTCGTAACTCTATATTGACCTTTGTCTTCGCGATTGTTGCCGACGCCTGTTTGCAGGTCAGCCCACTACAGTTGTTATACATATCGAAAAACCGATAAACTTTTAGGCGAAAAAGGCACTATTCCTGGCCCATTTTTTGATTTTTTGCGATATTAGGTAAAAACAGAAGCTTCTTATCCTAGGAAAAATAAAATGGGAAATCTTTCAAAGGTGGCACACTACCTTTAAGCTATCGGGCGAAAACTTTCCAGAGTAAGTCATCGGTATGTGTTTATCCGTATATTCCGCTTGTTTGCAAAAAGTCAAAAACTATAGGGAAAAATTCACAAACATAATTTATGAGGTTATATTTATATGGCTTTCAATTTTTTTTTCTTTTAAATGAAGAAAATCCGAGATCGTGGTTTCATAGCCATATGTATTTTGAGTCCTCTTATGCAAATATATTGCATCTAGCTTAATTTATGCTGAGTTCTTGAGAGCGATTGCCGCAGTTCAATGTTCCGCATCAAAATTGGCCGAACATTAAGTCACGTCATTTCCGGCCGACCTGTGATAGCTACAAAATTTTGATTTGCACAGAAGTATCAAATTGATGAAACCGAAGGTACTAAAAGCTTTGTGTTGAATGTTGATTAGTCCAGCGGTTAAGTAGATATTGCAGAAAAACGGGAGGGGGCTCTGCAAGAAAGGCTAATACAGGCAAAAATAAAGAGAAAACGTCTCTAAGCAGACAAATCCAATGAGCAAAACAGCCAGTTTTCAATTTGGTTAGGTAAACCAAATGTATTGCTTGTTAACACGCGCACTGCAGCGGGTCTGAGCCGAACA